ATCAAGGAGCTTGAGGAGAGAGAGGAGTGCAGGGCAGGATCCCAACATCAGTGTGCTAATGATCCATTGTTAGGCTGATGATCTTCCTTGATCATGTGAGCAGCTGGTTTTGGCTGTCAGCAGCAAACTGGTTGATCCACTGCGAGAGGGTGCTATTTATAAGACTGAGCTGAATACAGCACCTCAGACTGAGGAAGTCTTTCAGATGAAAGATGAAACGTTTCTACAATTTAAAAAAAAAAATTTTTTTTGAATGTCCAGAGGACCAGCTTTAACTTTTTAGACCTGCATCATAATGTTAAGGATATTAAATTTAGTTATGTTGTTCTTATTTAGGGAGACTAGAAATTAGATTTTTTTATTTTTATTTAAATAAGATATAAATTTATATTTTTAATTCCCAATTGCTCAAAAATAATGCTTGGTTTTATGTTCATGAGGTTCTACTAACCCTAATTATCTAATATCAAAATTTTGAGATTCAAATAATTAAATTGTCTGGCCAAGGGGGGCCAGTGGAGGGGACACCATGATTTAGGGGTGGACAGTGGCCAATGCCCTCCAGCCCCTGCTTGGTGGTGCCCCTGAATATAAGCAGATTTGGACCAATTTCTTAATAATCTATCATCAGTGTGTGGTGAGACGTGGACATTGGGGGCTGTAGTGTTGAATGATTTCTGTCATAAAAACACATCATGCTCGAGTGTTACAACACAGCACTCCAGAATTAGAAAACAAAATGTGAGCAAAGTCTGAGATGCCTGCAACAACTCTGCAACTATTTTAAGAAAAAGAGTTTGCAGCACAAATACATTGAACACTGTGACTTGTGTTGAAACTGAACCCCTGTGATTGTTTCCGAACCAGAACATTTTGGAGGTTCACTCGCAAACATTGTTCACCAACCAGCCTGCAACAGTCACAGCCCAGTGAGATACTGTCTTTAGATCTTTCGGCTCTTTGTTAGCAGTGGCTTGTCACAAGGAAGACATTTTTTCTCCAAGTCTTTCACTGAATGAATCTATAAAAAGATAACACAGTTTGAGATACACAAAATGCCACTTTGGAGCCAACAAGGTGATTCTGAAGGAGCTATTACATTAAAACTAAACAAAAAATCAGCTCGAGTGTTGACCAGGTCCAGGTCTCAGATCATTATTTCTTTTGACCTCCACTTACAAGTGCAAACTCCCAATATGCTGTCATGATCACATGAACTGTCTGGAAAATAAGAGACAAAGGCAGCCAAAGTCCAAGGAAATTATTTAAAATACCTTTAGAAGTACCTAGTACTTTAGAAGTACTACTGGCTAAAGCTAAGACTAAATACAGTAAAATCATTATTCAAGTTGGCGAAAATGACACTTGGCTAGTAGTGGTGTGCGATACTGCAAAATTTGGTATAGATCGATACCAAATAAATACAGGTCCAATATCGCCGATACGGATACCCATACTATACTTTTAAATAATTACGGTGAATTTTGATGACGTGTTTTGTGAGTTTTTCCTTTAGATCATTTATTAGTTAAAACCCAGGATAGAATTAGGCAAAGTTTATAAGTAAATAAAAAATACTTTATTATAATAATATTTTTCTGAAAAAATAGAACAGTAACAAAACAATTTTCCCCATACCTTGTGATGGCTGGATTTTTCTCCCTTAAACAAAGTGCACAAAACAATCACTCAAGAATAAATTAAAACATTGTGTTCAGAAACTATGATAAATAAAAATTATCCCTTCATTGCACTCCTTTTCTGGATTTTTTTTTTCTTAAATGAACAAACTGTACTTGTACATATCACACTGCAACAAATGTTATAAAACAGTAAAATATATTTAGGATATAAAAGAATAACAACTGGTACAGCTGCTGCCTCTCAGCGAGCAGGTCCCTGGTTCAAATCCCGGTTTGGGGGCCTTTCTAGGTGGAGTTTGCAAGTTCTCTGTGCATGCATGGGTTTTCTCCGGGTACTCCAATTTCATCCCACAGACCAAAAACATGCATGTTAGGCTGATTGGTAACTCTAAATTGTCCCTAGGTGTGATGAGTGAGAGAGTGAAAGGTTGTTTGTTTCGTTTGTCTCCGTGTGACCCTGTGATGGACTTGCGACCCATCTAGGTTGTACCCCGCCCCTTGCACAGTGATTGATGGACATGGGCTCCGGCGACCCCCTGTGACCCGAAATGGAAGAGGCAGGTAAAAGATAATGGATGGATGGAAGGAATAAAACAAAATTTCTCCTCTTAGGTTAATTTCTT